AAGTGATGTTATCTCACGGCTGTTCTTGGTGTATGCTAAATGATTTACGTATTATTTTGAAACGCACATTAACTAGTACAAACTTAAAGTACGCGACCGAGATTCAACGATTTCGATCGCATGTGATGCCTTACAAGCATGTAAGTTGTACATGGAATTTTTCATGTTTTTTGGCAGTAATGATTACAGGATTTTGCTCTGTAATTTTTCTTTATACTTTCATTCAGCAGCTAAAGTTTTATTCCGTCAGCTTGGTAGAAGGTGATTTATATGTGGTTTTCTTAGATCGATAGGCTTGTAAATTATACGGGAAAATTCAAAGCTGTTGTTATACCTGGCGATGGGATCGGGCCGGAAATGTTGCACCATGTTCGTGAAATATTTGCTTTGGCCGAGGTAAATAAGTCTATTTCAGTTAAAATTAAAGTTTGTGGTTGTCGGCAGCATCGTTTAAAAAAAATTGGTCAGTGTGGGCGCTTTCCAGTCTTTCCTATAGAAGTTGTAAACTCATGTGGCCTAGGCTGTGTTGGAAGGGGAAAATTTATTTTATTGTAAGGATGACTTATTAGTATGAGGTAGTTTTCTCTGTAGGTTCCAGTCGAATTTGAAGAGGTTTCATTAAGTTCTGATATGTCAAATGAAGAAGTAGAGATGGAGAACGTTATCAAAGCAATCAAGGCCAATGGAATTGCTATAAAGGTTTGCTTATTTTTATCGGCAAAGTCGTAATATTGCTGGAGTATATTAGCCTTCAGTCAGTAATTGTGCTGGAAGAAGTTGGTCGCTTGTCGACCACATCTTTTAAAATTTTTATGGCAGAATTTTTCTTTTACATTTAAGGGTAACATTGAAACGAAGTTTGATGATCCCGAATGCAAGTCTCGTAATGTGGAGTTGCGGCGCAGACTTGAGCTGTATGCTAACGTATTACACTGTATGACTATTCCTACAATTCCGACTCGCCACAAAAACATCGATATGATTTTGATCAGGTTTCTTGGTTATCACGCTTTGAACTGGCATTTTGAAACGATTGATTTTAACCTTAAAGTTTTTTGAAAGTACAGTATAGTTTTTTAGGATATAGAAAACAGCGGACTTTTTTGCTTCCATTTTCACTGCCCACATACATCCAGCAGCATTCCCCTATCTCTGCACTAGGTGTTTTTTTTTTTTTTAAAAACCTATCTTATTGTGAACGTTTTAGGGAAAATATGGAAGGAGAATATTCAGGTTTAGAACATGAGGCGAAACCAGGAATTGTTGAGAGCTTGAAGGTTCCTTTTTTTCTAATTTAGCTCTCTTATGCGGTTATTCCTAGGGTGCCATTTAGCATAAAAATACATTGAGATTACAACAACTCTTACTTCTTTATTTGCTGCAGATCGTTACGCGTAAAAATATTGAAAGAATTGCTCGCTTTGCCTTTGAGTATGCGCAATCTTATGGACGCAAAAAGATAACAGTGGTGCATAAAGCCAATATTCAGAAATTAGGTGACGGATTGTTTCTTAAAGTAAGGTTTTTTTTGACACTTCTCCTGTTTCTTGCTATGTTCAGTAATTCTCTCTGCTCTAGGTTTGTAAAGAAATGGCTGAATTACATTATCCTGATATAGAGTTCAATTCGTTTATAATTGATAACGCCTGTATGCAACTTGTTTCCCGCCCTCAACAGTTTGACATAGTACTGATGCCAAATTTATATGGCAATATAATTTCTAACGTGGCTTGTGGTCTAGTTGGTGGTCCTGGATTAGTTTCTGGTATTAACGTTGGCGATGATTACGCAGTTTTCGAAACGGTAGGTGCACTGTTT